TATTTAAGATTTTTCTTCTCCATAATGAAGATCAATTTCATAATTCCTATCTTTGATCTATTCCGTTGCCCAATAGAGGTTTTCATAGGACCTAAAATGCCCAGCACAATCGTTGATGACGTCCAGACCAGTTAGGGCCAGCTGCGATCTCTATTTTGAGAGGCAGAATTCCAGGAGCTGGCACGTTCGGAACGACGTATGATCAAGAATTTCATTCATGATGATGATATGTATTCTGCGCATGAACTTCTTCTGAGACGCAGACTCCCGCAAGGGATCTAGCAAGATAGCATCAAATATCGAAAATTCTTTGCGAGCACTTCCAAAAATTCTTTGCGAGCACTTCCAAAAAAAGGCTCTCCTGTAGCCTTCTTCTGCAACGGCAAAGAAAATCATTCTTTCCAGTCGACCAGCAATGAGAGCCGGTCGATTTGCGGGATCTTCAACAGGGAATTCAGGGCGGGCTTCTACGTCTTAGACGCACGATAGAAATTATATGATAATCCAAATTTTGTCGTTGCCCACAGCTCTATGCCCCTATTGATTTCCATATCGCGCAGGGACAAAATATCGGCATAGGTAGTTCTCAAAAGAGCTTATCCGCAAGGGAAATCCGTGCCTCTGTGCCTTGAATATGGTCTTCGCAGGTCATGTATCTGGACGAAGTGAGCAAGGTCTAAGATGGGAAGGGCGGCGCGATCGGAATATTGTTGTTGCTGGTCATAAATATCAAATGCCTTTGCAATGGGATCTAGAAATCAAATTAGGCGGACCCAATAATTATTGATAATGATTAGAAGAGATAATAATAATCATAATCGGGCTGATAAATTCTATAGCCCCGCTCGTAGTGGGGGCGGAGGGGTCGAGGGTCTATATAATTTAATTATCAGTATTTTCTCGATAGATACCTTGTAATTTGGAATTCCCTATTATATGATAACAAGGCAAAGTCCCTCGCCGTGGGTCCTATCTAATTTCCAGAGGAACGCTGGCTTATCAGGAAAAATGTCAACGAGGCTCCTCTTCAGCTCTCTTACGTAAATAAATGCGGCTGCTCATATATTCATAATTCCAAGCTATATAATTTATATAGCATAGATTTATCTTCTAATAATCATATTGATTTCTATTATCTATATTATTGAGCTATCATCTCGAAATTGATCATCGACGAAAAAAATACGAATATATTTCAAGAGATCGAATATAGAAAATATTCTGAATCTCGATCTTTTTTCCTATAATAGTGGATAGTTCCCCTGAGCAGTCGCGCAGACACGATCAAAGAGAGATAAATCATGCAGAAATATGTGGTGGAGGCAAGCTGAAAGATTTTGGATCTCCGCCGCAGATCTATATATTCCTCCGAGCCGCCGCGCAGACAGCCAAAGAGATTTCCGGCGGCTCGGGGCAGCGCATAAATCCCCGTAAACAGACACAGCCAACCTATAAATTCTGAAAGATTTTGATTCTCCGTCCCACGTCTACGCGCTTCCCCGAGCAGCCGCGCAGACAGCCAAAGAGAGTTAAATTACCCGGAAGATTGCTCCGAAGGCAAGCTGACAGATTTTGGATCTCCGCCGCGGGTCTATACGTTCCGCCGAGCCGCCGCGCAGACAGCCAAAGAAAGAGAAATGATTCTATCTCGGAAGATTTTTGGTCGCGCGACCTCGAGCCGCGCGACCTGTAGATTCCGCAAGTAATAAGATCTCCGCCCCGGGCCTTTACGTTCCCCCGAGCTGCCGCGCAGACAGCCAAAGAGAGAGAAATGGTTTGAAATCTTTGGTCGCGCGGCCCCCGCTTCCGGCCCGGTCCCTTTGCGCCTCATCATATCTCTCTTGGGCTATCTGCACGGCGGCTCGGGGAAGTGTATGAATCCCCGTGGCACCTTGCTGCCCTTCCAGAGCATACGGGTCAAGAAGTCAAAGAAGGCGAAGGAGTCAGCGTCCTGATCCATCGCCGCCATCACTGGAAAAGTCTGGAGGCAGCAAATCGGATCTGAGCTTGTCGGTGCTTATGAATGCTAGTTCTGACTGCAAAGACCGAGTTGTTAGTGTATAGCAGTGAGGATCCCGCAAAGTAGGGATCGATAATGCCCGCTTGTAGGTTGTCGTCCAAGATGTACAATGCCTGAAACAACGCTATAGGGTTCCCAGGCAACATCCAACCCCTCCGGAGACACGAATACCGGAAGCTTCACATTCTCTGGACAGATACGGACAACCTATAAATTCTGAAAGATTTTGGATCTCCGTCCAGGGTCTATGCGCTCCACCGTGCAGCCGCGCAGACAGCCAAAGAGAGATAAATCATGCGGAAGACCGTGCCGGAGGCAAGCTGAAAGATTTTGGATCTCCGCCTCGGGTCTATACGTTCCAGCGAGCCGCCGCGCAGACACCCAGAGAGAGAGAAATAGTTCGAAACTCGGGAGATTTTTGGTCGCGCGGCCCCGCATCCGGCCTGGTCTTTCCGCCTCAGTTATCTCTCTTGGGTTTTCTACGCGGCGGCTCGGAGGAGCGCATGAATCCCCGTGGACAGATACAGCCTATAAATTCTGAAAGATTTTGGATCTCCGTCCCGGGTCTATGCTCTCCCTCGCAGATAACCAAAGAGAGATAAATCATACAGAAATATGTGGTGGAGGCAAGCTGAAAGATTTTGGATCTCCGCTCCAGGTCTACATCTTCCACCGAATTACCGCGCAATTAATCAAAGAGAGAGAAATGATTCGAAATCTCGGGAGATGTTTGGTCGCGCGGCCCCCGCCTCCGGCCCGGTCTTTCCGCCCTCATTTATCTTTCTTGGGCTGTCTGCGCGGCGGCTGCGCATAAATTCTCGCCGAAAGATACGGCCAACCTATAATTTTTGCAAGATTCTGGTTTTCCGTCCCGGGCGCTGCTTCGAGCAGCCGTGCAGACAGCCAAAGAGAGATAAATCACGCGGAAGACCGCTCCGAAGGCAAGGGCCGTGCGACCAAAAATCTCCGAGATTTTTGGTAGTGTCCTTGCCGCTCGCGCCAAAACTCTCGGAGATTTTAGAGCCTAGCTTTTCCGAAGGGCTTTAAAATCTCCGAGATGTTAGAGCTTCTAGAAAGCCCGCAGGAGGCGTTTTCATGGTGAGCCGGAAAAACTAGGCCACGCGCGAACGAAATGGCTGCAAGGGACTATACCGTATTATTGAGATATATTAGCAATATAGTCATTGCTAATCCCTAGAAATTCTTCGGACTGAATAATCAGTCCACTTATAAAAAATCAGGATTTTCAACCCAATTGGGTCAAATCAACCCAATTCATCATCTCATAATGAAATCAACTCATTTCATATATCGGTCTGCAAATATATAAATATATACGAATGAATAATCGCGAGATTATATATCAAATAAAGATCTCAAGTCAACGCCTCGAGGCCATTCCTGCCGAAGACCTAGAACCCGGAAACGTTACGTGATAATCTTCCAAGGTTTGAGACATTTACTCAAAGAAGATCAATTTATGCGATAACTTTATTTCTCAGGAAGATCAAATATCTGCTCAGATATCTGAATATACGATCTCATTCCAGCTCGTCGGATTTTTAAATCGTATATTCAGGCTGGGCCTTAAAGATAGAGATATTCTATTTCTCATCATTCCAGGCCTGTTTCTACGGCTATTTCAAATTAATTTCATATAAAATCCCATTTCTATATCGATCGTTTTTTTTGAAAAGCGCCAGCCTCAGAATTTTTGATTTTATTCCCTCGCCAAGAGAAAAATTGAATGAGAGATATCGAATATTTGCGCGCGAAGAGAATATAGAATAATTGAGTCTGCATAAGGCATCAATTCTTCAAGGACCTAAAGGAAGCATTGATATGATTATTTCGTAGTCTTATCCCGCAAATCATCTATTTGTGCCAATCAATCCAATTCAATTACATTAATTTGATGGCACGGCTCAATCCGGCCAAATTTTTATCATTTAGTCATAGAAAAACAATATATTCCAAAATCAATCCAATTTATAATTTCTCAAAATCAAGATTTTTCGTATTCCTTTATAAGAAGATATATTCTGCCGTAGAGCGCGTAAACATTTTCTAGAAATGAAGTCGAAGCTTCGGATCCGCGCAACCAAATACATAATTAGAAGATCTCGCATACGATCCGCCGACAACTTATTTCATTCATATTTACCGAGCCGGCGCAATTCCAAATATATTTGAATAAATCAATCTTTTATTTTAGATATCATAATTTTTATATCCGTATTTTTCAAGATATATTTGAAAATCGCGTAATATTTACGAAGTATTCTATAAAATAATATATGTGCCACGACGAATGCGTAAGTTAAATTTGCGTAATTCACGTTCTTCATGATTTATCTAGTCTGCCGACAACTTATGGGCATAGGAAAGTACGCGCCGCAGAGAGCCTATTTAGGAATCTAGCGCTGCCTTGACCAGAGGGTAGTAGGTATCAGCTTAGCACCATTCAGCCAGCGAAGTACCAATCAATCTTGAGAGGGCAATATAAGGCAACTGATTAGAAATATTTAGATCAGAATCCGATATTTAAGCAGTGATAAAGGCCCCGATAGTCGGTGCTCAACCCCAAACAAGAAGATCAGCCCCCAATTTTGTTTGGGACAATCCGGCCAAAAATCCGAAAATTCTGCTTTTTGCAAACGGACTGAATTTTTAGGCCTGTTGGAAAGTCCAGGTATTAAATAAATTAATCAGAATAATATAAGGTGTCATATTTTTTGGTGGTTTGTTTTCCAAATCTTGCCAGGGGTCTGGGAAATCGATATGTTTTATTTGTGTTCTCAGGTGAGGAAAGCTCTTAATTCATTTGAGAATCAGCATTTCTCAGGTCACTTGAATGTACATAGGTTTTTCCAGAAGGTTGTGCCCTGGGCAGAGGAAAATAGCACAACCTCTGGACGCAATGTTATCAAGCATGCCTCTGTTGGGATGCACTAAAACCTGGAGCAGCTGGGAAGTAAGATCACTCACAAGTTTCCCATGCTCTCCACACTTTGCCAGTTCCTGCATCAGCAAGACCCCATCGAATTAGTCGCCCCACTTCTCCCATTTGCTGCAGGCTGTCCATGGCATGCCAGGTTGCCATGAGGCCTGACTCCGGGTCGAAGATCAACGACTGCAGTTCAACATTAAAATCGTCGATGTTTTTGCTCCGCTGGTTTTTGATCTTGTTGAGTATGAGTTCTTTGTCTGTCTCGGAAGATGCGCGCATGTTCCGGACGTCCAATTTCCCCAAACTCCGCGCGCGTTGCTGGATAATTGCCTTGGAGGCAAGCTTTAATGATTGACTCATATGCAGACGCCTGCCTTCTGCAATTTCCGCCACGCACCAGGCACGCGAAAACAAATCAAAAGACCGGTCCACCGCAATGACTTGCCTGCAGCCTCCTGTGTTTGCAAGGTGGGACATCATCTCGTCAAACTTGTTGATCTCCGAAGGTGCACTGTGGCCATCCGGATCAGAGATGTTTACACACTTGCAATTGCAAACGGGATGCAGCTCAGTCGTCAGGGGATCACGGTCATAAGGATTGCTGTGGCATATGCTCATGTGCTGGTTCACTGCAAATGCACAAATCCAGTATCTGTCATCTAAGCGACTGCTTCTAGCCAAAATCCCAGCTAGGACGTCGCAGTCGTCCTCCAGGAGTTGAGCTACCAAATTGAAGCAGCTCTCCCCCAAAGCATCGGAGATGACGGCGGCCAACAAGTCCTTCTATCATGGGATCCTATACTACATCCCCCTCTACTCAATCCCCTCCCACAGAAAAGATTGCCTAATTAAAGCTAACAAGGCGAAGGAGAGTAAGGGTGTTGGGGGGGGCGGGGGTAGCATAGGATCCCATAATTCAACTAGATCCAAGGTCAACAAATCTGCTTTACATCGTGCTTCAAGGGAGCAGTGCACCGACAATCTTGAAGGGTGTAGGGTGTGAGGCGAAACAAATCGCAAATTCCAAAAGGCTTACAACGCTTGTTGATGTCAGTTCTCATCTTAGCTAGTTATCTTCAGCAGTCACATGCCGTGCCCGGATCATGAAATCCCAAAGCATCATGAACATGCCAATACTGATGAGATTGATGCTGCTACTTCATAATGACAATACTGCAAGTCCTTGAAGCAATTGCCCCAATTGTGGCTCACCATGACGGCAGGCCTTTGAGCACCATCCCGATTCAGAGCTGAGACTGCATACGCAGTTTCTTCTTTGCTAGTGAAAGGTATGATCACCCTGCGGACCACATCCCTGGTTCTGTGTTCCTTGGGCACATACATCCAGTCTTGCACGGAAGGGAGGTCTTCATGATAAAATTGCAAAAGGCTGCGCAAGGTCATTCCCCGCAATGAGAGCTCTTCAACTTTGGCTTGCCAGTCCGGACTCCACTCCTGAGTTGCTGTTAATGAAACTTAAGCTAAGCTACCACGATGGACAACGAAATGGAAGTACAATTGAGTTTCCGCAGTAAGGAAGCCGCATCACTATCATGTTCCCTTAGGTCCATATTCTCGTAGCTAAATTCAGGTTCCCCAACAACAACCCAGACTCCGTTTCCTTTGCGGGCACTGCTCTGTGCTGCACAGGGCGTACGTGGCGGGACATTCGCTGGCTTAAAGCTGGCAACCTGTGGCTGCCCGAAAGGAGCAACACCGTGGCTGCGTTGCCAAATGAATCTAGAGCCTGCAATGCCCAAGTAACAGGACTGTCATCTTCTGAGATGCTATTCCACAGAAATGATGCAAGCGACAGTGACGTGAGAACAAGACTGAAAGACACACCCATCACTTGCAGAGCAGCAAATCGGCGGGCCCTTCGCAAGAAGGACTTTGCCGAAGTTGCCGTATCTTGAAGCTTTGCTGTGACCAGCACCATGTGCAACTGGAGCAGAGACTGAACAAGCGAGCAAATCGCAACCATGCTTGCTGTTAAGCTGCACAACCAGGTCCACATCAATGCGACATCCCCTACACCTTCCGCTGCCATTGTTGGACCGAGGTCTGCCTGGATGCTTTCCAGAAGGTCACTGATACAATATGCAAGAGAAGCCACCGCGACACCCAGCAGTTGCGTCCAAGTGAGCCTGCGCACGCATTGGCTGCGATACTTCTGATGTGACGCTCGCTCCAGGAGACGGAGTCGCCCAGCGATGAGACTCTGCATCCAACACAAACAAATCAAATAGAGCACCCACCGTGCTGAACGCACAAACAACTTCACCAAGTCAGAACTGCTGCACGCATGCACATGAAACTGAACCAAGCTCAGCATGCACTGGAACCAGTTCACGATTGCGTACCCGCAGGCCGACCTAGCATGACCTGAAGCTACACGCCTGTCTTTGAGAAAGACGGCCACTGCACCAGATCCGAAACTTGCCAGGGACAAGCCGAAGAAGAGAAAAGGGTTGGAAGACGGACAGGAAGCAAGCAGGAAGCCTGCAACTGCGACATTCACGGCTAAGACCACAAAGTATGACAAGTATGATCCAGACTGGCAGCTCTGCCAGAGCTTCAGAAAAAGAGCACATCTACTCGTTGAGGTTGAAGGAATCTCATCGGAAGCCCCTGGGATGCAGTTTTCCATCAGCAGTCATGTGAACAATAGATTGAAGCCAAAATGGCTGCAGGCATGCAGGAACAAGCATTGGGCCCTTGCTTTCATGGGAGGCAATGCTTGGTGAGATCCGTCCGCTGGCATTCTGCAAGTTATTCTATGTATAAATATATGTATATATATATATATCTCTCTCTCTCTCTCTCTCTCTTAGATACTAGGATACCATCAGTCTTGGGACCACAAATTTGGGCCCATAATCTTGCGAAATCTCGTTTTCCACATCCATTAAAGCAAGCAAGATGCACGGTGTCAATCATCACGCCACCGCAGGAAACATGCCTACGATGAAGACGTCGACATAGTAGCTCTAGTTTCTCTAAGGTTGGATTTATGATCGGCCCTTAGTATGTGCTCTCAACCCTGGAGTCTGCATATATCGAGGCTGGTTACGACCCGGATTGTATTGAAACAATGTACTGGAGCAGAAAATGCTTTCGGTAGGCTGTTAGGACTTGTCTTGTTTTGGGAAGGGGTTGAGAACCTGTTCAAAGCATCTGGAATGATGTCATGTGGGTTGCCAAGTTGTAGCTTAGAGCCCGAGTACTTGGAGGCTCTCTGGACTTACGTACCAAGGCAAAAGATCATTCAAGTAGCTCTTATGAAATTTGACTATGCCAGATGTTACATCGCCCCTTCCTCCTTAATCCTTGTTACAGAATCCCTTGCTCAGGAATATAATTGCCAAAGACCCATTTAAGCAATGCCCCAGCTATCATGATAGGGGATAATGTCTGAGAACCCAGCGTGATTGAATCTCGGGAATGGTCGAAGATTTATTGACGGTGCGGGAGTCCCGAGGCGATCTAAGAATCGCGCGACACAAGGGGCCGGGATGGGAGTTTGGGTTCGGGGTACGTTTTGGAGAGCGCTTCGAGGGCATGCTCCGGAAACCGCACGCCCTTTTGAACGAGGCTGCTTGAAGCCAACCATGCCAGTGCGTGGAAAATCTGGAGAGTGTCGGAGCTTCGTCCAGCAGAGGGTCAATGCTAAATAAGTTTCGCGGGCGCGGCAAAGAATGAATGCGGGGAATTGCGGGGAAAAACGAAAGCGAAACATCTCGCAAAGCATTCCGTGTTCCGAAATCGCAACCGAATTTTCTTGCAGCCTTTCTATTCGCAACTATTGCTCTTGCAGCTCTCCAGTTTGTCGAGCTTGCAAAAGGATTATTGCGGGGACCCTTGTAAGGGCTATGTAAAGGTCATCTCCAGGAACTCTCATTTTTGTTGCAAGCCGCATCTCTGCCAGGAGTGCCACTGCAGCCTGCCACATACCTGCAGTTAATCTAGGGTTTAGGGGCTAAGGGTTCAGGGTTGTGGGATATAACTTCTTGAGGGCAGCATCGGGCGGCCTGAAAAAACCATATGTCTGTGAAATCCCGGGGAGATGATGGCTTAAGGAATTATAGTCCCCCTTAAGTAGATAGAACGTGGGGTATATGGGGATCTTATTATCATATACCCAAAGCCATACTCTATCTACTTAAGGGGGGGGGACTTATCTTGACTACATCATCCTGTCCGTGCTAAAAACTCTACGAAGCCCAATGCTACAGCGGTAAGGGGCCCCTCGCGCCAGGTTTTACGTCCTTTACCCTACTTGGATTCCCTAAACCCCAAGCCTTAGGGTTCAGGGTTACTGGGTTCATTGCGGAACTACATTATGCTAAGTGGTGCACGCTCTTCTCCATCCACCCGGTTGTCCAACAAGCCCAAGTAAGTAGAGCGGCACAATACCGTGATAGGCTTGGAGCCTGTAAAAAATCCATGTTTATGGCTTTATAGGGTAATAACAAATCAAAACCATTCTCAAAACTACCCCTGAAAACTCAGCTCCATTCGGCAATATGAAGCCCAAGAAGCATTCATGAACTGACATGTGGCTCCTGTATGCTTCACTGCATTTAGGGTTTAGGGTATGATCAACGTAAGACGGCCCACGGAAAACGGGAATTTGCATCCCAAGGCTTCTGGATGCAAAACCTTGAGCTGTGGCATTACCTCACGCTCAGAACCCCTTATCCCAACCCCACACTATGCTAGAAAAAACCTGCTGCTAGCTCTTATTATTCCCTTTCCCTATTACACGAAAGACCAAACTGCCAAAACCCTAAATCCAAAATCTGAAGTAATCAACCCCAAACGCGAAGCCCTACAAGCCCTATAAGCCCCAAACCCTAAACCCTAAACTTCCTAAACCCTAAACTCTAAATTGTAGTTTCCATTTTTCCACTATCCCAACATGACCCTAATTTTACCCCAATCAATGGGTACCCATATCCCCTAAACCCTATAAACCCTATATAACCCCAACCCTTACACAGAAAAAGCACCTGAGCTATAGTCTAAACTCCTAGTATCCCCCTTAATAACCCCTTATAGTAGTCCCCTATATAATCCCCTTTAAGGAGTTTAGACTATGGCTCATCTCAAGTAAGGCGGCGGCTGGCCGCCTCGCAAGAGCGCAGGACAGCTCGCCAGAGATTCATGTCAGGCCTGCCCAGGGCCAACATGAGCATTTTCAAAAAGGTAGGTCCCTTTTTGGGAGGCCTCATGCTGTTTAGGGTTTAGGGTTTAGGGGCCTTTCCTAAAAAAATCTGGATCCCTTTTTGCAGGCCTTTACATCACGGATTGTGCTTTTGTACAGGACAGTAACCTTGCCCTTTTTGGAATCCACCTACATAGGCTGTAGAGTATTATAGGGTTACGATTTTTGAGCGGAGTTCTATGGAGGGGGGCTGTTCTAGGGCACAGAGACAAGTCTAGGTTCGCTGTGGGTTGTTGTCAAAATTATGGGGCTCTTTTGGTGAAAGATTATAATACCGCACCTGATGTTTCGGGGTGCCAGAATGGAACCCTAATTTTGGGAACTACCCATGTAGTGTACATAGGGCTGACTGGAAGCCGTCTCCTGGGAGCTCCCCACCGGTTGTTGCCTTCAATGGAAGGCATTTCCGGGAAGTGGGCGCCTTGTGCCAAGCCCTGTAAGAATTGACAAGTGGTAGTTTCCACAATTAGGGGGTCCTGTCATATACCCCAGACTATTCTAACTAGGGACCTCCAAAATTTTGATTTTTGGAACACCCCCAAGTCATCATGCTTTGGGTAGAATGCTAAGGCTCCTCCATACCGGAGGGCGCGACATACTTAAATACACGGCTATATGAAATATACATGGACCCCAGACGAGGCTGACAGCTTACAGCCCTGCTGGATGCTGGAAAAATCATTTTGTGTAGTATACAAGAAGGCAAACCACAAAACATGTAAACTGCTAAGATCTTGGTATAAGACCTCTAAAGAAGGGGCGAATTTACAGTTGTAGTCTGCTTTGTCACAAGGCTTTCTGAGATGAGGTAGGAGCTTACAGTCCCGCTTAAGTCGATAGAATATGGGGCATATGGGGACATTGTTCTAATATTGGGCAATTCCATATTCTATCGGGACTATACTATACATACCTCGGCTTATGGTAGTTGATAAAAAAATCGGGTTCCCAAGATGGACATCATGGAAAACAAGTTTCCCTACATCTTCCAAGTAGACCCACACCTTCCCAAAGCAATTCTCCCAGTTAGTAACCCGTTAATCCCACGAAGTAGAGAAACCCTAAACCGTAAACTTGCTACACCCTAAACCGAGTATGTATCAGTCTGTTGCTGAGAAGCAGACGTCATTTGTTCAAGACGTAGCTCGCAAAGAAGCCCTATGGCCTAGACAAATCTTGGGCCCAGAACAAACAGGGTTTAGGATTTAGGGTTTAGGGTTTGGGGCTCAGGGTTAAGGGTTTAAGGTTTGGTGTAAGGGTTTAGGGTTAACTATGTAGCCATAGAATGGTAGATAGGGTTACATAAAGGCATGTAGGGCCACATAGGAGCCCCTAATAATGATGAGTCGAATGGAGAGGAGAATTGGAAAATGAGATGGACACTGGCGCTAATATGTGTTTACATATAGTTCCATTTTCTTCCTGATGTAGTTTGATCTTCCTTGAACTAATTAGGCTATAATGTCCAACCCTGATACAGTTGCCACGGTCACTGCAGCTAGAAGGTTCCTGATGCGCCCTGACGCGTACGAAGCATAATCAGATAACAGGGCTTAGCGTTCAGGATTCATGATAAGGAGATACAGGTTTAAGAAACACCGCGAGAAGAAAGAGACTAAATC